TTCCTCCATTACACCTTGGCTTGTTGGGAGCCCCCTGGGAAGGTTGTAAGTGGTGGATCATATGACCCTGCGGCGCTGCAAACATAACATTCATGCCAGTTAGCAAGTCCTCAATTTTGATCATATGACTGCAGGCTGCAATGGATTGAGATTGCAAGGACCGGTCACAAGTTCACTTTTGTGTCATTTTGAATGGTCATTAAATAAATGGTTGTAAGTTGGGGACTGCTTGTGTACTCTCAAAGAGTGTCAGAAGTGTTGAATCTCCCAGTTACGATGGCAAGCCAGGTGACTCCACGGGCCTAGTTATTTCACAGCAATTGGTCCACTGAGGAGGATGCAGAGATAAAGAAGTGTTGTGAGCACACTGAGGCTTTGCCTGTGCAAGTTTCACGCAACCTGAGAGGTGCTGCCAAACTTCATCTGGGGTTTGCTTACACTTAGCTTGGCACAACCCTAGTGCAGACTTGCCCAGAAGGAACAAAGAAGGAACATGCTCTGTTAAACCCTGTGAACATTAACTTTCAAAAGTTATCTTCCTTCTTTAACTTGAACAAGTTTCAGTTCTTGAGGATAGTTTTGGTACCTTGTCTTCGTTCATCTAAAACTCCGTGCTCTGTCTGAATTGTTAAATATTCTGTATTGCATAGCAGTTTTTATTGACTCGCTAAAAGATGATCTAGTGGTAATATTAGTACAATCACACATTTTAAAAATCAAAATTGTCTTGCTTTTTATTAACAGGTCTTGGCTGTTCCACAATTCTTTCACCTGAAGGGGCTGCTCAATTTGCTGCTCAGATTTTTGGGTTGAATGACCACTGTGTATGGGCCAAACTGCGATCCTGCATCCTGAATACATGGATCTCCCTAAAACAGGCTGACAAAAAGATGAGAGAATATACTTTATAGATGAATTCTAAAAAAACCAGTTTCATTTCAACTTCCAGGCATATCATTCCTAGTATAAGTGCTAATGGGAAACTGTTCCTAACCTACTTTATGATGGTATACAGGTGCCCTCTTGTGTTCTAAGCTATTGTAGACAACTAATCTTGTATTTTCTACCACAATGTAACTTGAAAGCAGAGTTACGTGCATTGAGGTAGAATAGATCTTACTGATCTATGACTGGTTATTAAAGAAAAATATTACCTCTGTCTACTTGTAACCCCGTACAAAATATGCCCCTATGGTGATTCTAAAATTTATATTAAAGCTAGCAGTGCCATTAATAAGTGGACTAGTTTGCTTTTGTTCTAGAATGGCCCATCATGGAATCAAATGTATAAGACAAATTATTCAAGATTTTAAAAAAGTATTTTTTTGTGTGGAATGTCCTTACCAAAGCCTTTTCTATAATTAGTTTTAAATACAAAGCTGATAATATATAAAGCTAATTTAACAGTTGACCTTCAGATAGCTTTTGAGCAGGCCTTTATAACTTGTAAAGGGGAAAGGCCACGCTGACAACTTAGCAATGCAGACCTTACAGAAACACCTGGCACACCAGCCAGCTGTTTGATGGCGGGTGGGGATGGCAATGAACTTGGCAACTGAAGATTCGACTTGAAAAAAATGCCATCATGCCACCTAAGGCTGCTTGGTGAGCCGTACTCAGTGGTCAATATCTTGTATAGAGCTGATTTTTGACCGTGACCAGCAGGTTGACAATATATTTATCAATTACAAATTGAATACCAGATTATCACTTACAAACGCATGAGTTAGAAAGTAAGTCAGACTGAAGGCAGCATTGAATTTTAAGGTTAATTCCCAAGACCAATTTACTGAAAACCTGTACCTATTTGGTTTCTAACTCGGCCACCTATCCTCATGTAGAGGCAAGATCTATGCCCAAATAAGGGCTTCTGTCATCCCTGTTATTTTACAGTATATACTACTCCAGGCAAATGGCTGACTTGCTTGAAAACATCTAGTGATGAAACACCCATGACTCTCCAGGAGGCATGATTCCATTTTGCTTAATAGCACAGGAAAACTACTGAATGCTTGGCCTATAGCACTACTCATCATTTTTAGGTGGTTCTATAACTACATCAAATATTCTACTTATTTTTAGTAGAATTATATGCTGTTCCATCCATCAACTACACATAAAAAATAATGAGTGTCAATTATTCATACAAAAGCATTGTTTGCAAAGTTTCGATACAGCAGTTGTGCTACTGGGCTAAAACGGGGAAGATACAGCTATGTTGAGCCAGCCGAGTACAATGCTGCTGTTCCATATGTAAAAATGAAGCTCTTGATCAAAAAGAGAGAGATTGTCAGGCTACAGGACTTTTCCCCTTCACTCAACTAGAATGAACTTCTGAAAACGTATCAAAAAGGAATCCTTTACTGAGATGAGACAGCAGGGAGTTTAGAACCCCTCCCCTTATCTCGATGTGTATTTAGTGAAACAAAAGCCAGTATGTTAATTCCTCCTCACCCCTTTTATAAGGAACGATCTTTTTCACTTTCCCAGGGCATACCTAATTTCCCCCACCCCCTTTTTAGAACAAACTTTTCCAGAGATTCCCAGAACACATCTCACTGGGATTTTTGTGATCTTCTCATCTCCCGGCTGTGTCCCTCAGAGGTGATAGGTTCCGCCCATCTGGCTTTTCTCCTTCCATTGTATCATGCGTGGGTTATACAAATTCAATATAAGATTAAATATATTCAGGTTGTTACATCAAGAAAGGATTTATCAGCCTCCCCCCGCTTTTCTTCTTCCACTGAAAAAATGACATACACGGAGCTGACAAGAGATGTACAGAGGTGTATATATATTTATAGAACTTGCCCCCTTTTCATTAGATTTCATCAATTTATTCAAAAACCATTTTGATGGCATGAACTATGAATGTGTTTAATGTTCAGTTTTAATAATCCCTACTTTGAAAGAGTTTCCAAAATAATCTGGTGTTAGAAAGTTATTTGGACAGAGCCAAATTAAACAGTTTTGTCACTGACATAATAATTCAATGCCATGCTGACATAATTGAAACTACTTTCACCTAAGTTCTAGAAAGCATTGTAAATTCTACAATCCCCCAAATATTAAGAATTCTGATCACAGTTAAAAATATAAATTTTAGGTTTATTGAAAATTAAATATTAGCAAAAGCAAGTTTAACAAATAACTTTATAAAATGAATCACAATCAAGACAGACATTTGAGAAACTACAAAATGAACCTATTGGCAAGCAGACTGCCATCTTGTGTCTTGCAGTACAATTTAATACGAATAAGGCATGGAAATCTGCATTTTCAAGCATCTGTGTTCCAGAAATTTTAAAAAAGCATACTTCAAGTAGTTCCCAAACATCTTACATTTAAGAGTACAGTGACACAGCAACAATGTTTAAAAATTACTGATTATTTTTCCAAATGCAGAAAATATTGGATACACTAAATTTTTCCATCCAAAGTTGGAGAAAAAGATCCAAATGGAGGAAGAAATCGGATTCTGAAAATGTCTTGCTGGTACCACCAACCGTGGTTCTTTCTAGCATTAGAAAATATTAAAAGGGGGGTTAGGTTACTCCAAAATCATACAGTTCCCTTGACTGTCTCATATGCTTCAAATATGGAGGCTTCCTCAGACATGAAACAGATGTAAATTATTTCTTACAGAAGTGAGGACAAGAGGAGACCTCTACTTTTTCCTCTCTTAAATAATGGGAGTCCATGAAGCCTGTTAAAAGTTTCTTCATTGGGGCCCATTTGTTGCTATGTCTGCTTTTTAAAAATGTTGTTATATAGTGAACAGACTGTTTCATCTTAATTAAAACTCTCTCTAGTAGTCATCTATGTCTAATTCTAGGCATACAATATATGTAACCCAGTCACAGTGGCAACAGCTTGAAGTAGTTTTGAAGTAAGTTCTTTAACATGGCTCCAAATTCATGTAATTTCAAAAGAAAATTGTGCCAAATTTACAATTAAATATTTAAAACAGAACTTTGCTCTACAAATAGACAATACATTTAAATAATTGTGCAAATGGCAACAAGGTGCTGCTGTAGCCGAGGCAACTTCTGATTTGCAAGATTTTGAATTCATCTTTAATAAACTTGAACTGACAAATTTTAAATCTTGCACTTTCCACCACAGTAATCAGTGGAATTTTTTTTGACAATGATACATTCCATTTGTATATAGTGCAAATAAATATTTTTCAGCTAGATTAATTTACATGCAATATTAATGGCATCCCTCTTATTGAACAACTATTGATAAAGGAAGCATTTTCCTAATAGTTCTCAAATCAGGACTAAAAGTGCAAATTCTGCAAGAAAAAAAACCAGCTGAAGTTACAGCCATGTTGTAATATTAAGGTCCTGGTAATTAATTATTTGGTCTCTGGTCTCTGGAAAAATAGGTCAATATAGCTTGGATTTTTATCAAACGTTCTCTCAAAGACCTCATAGAAAGCACTGAAAGCTGGTATTTGGGATCCACAGGAAGAACAGCTAGAAGCCACCAACACCATGCAGGTCCTTCAGCTGTTTCCTAAAAAGAAGAAACCAAATTAAAAGAAAATAAAAGAATATTAAAACTTAAGACATTTAGGACAAAAATATTATAATGATGTGGTTAAGTAATTGAGTTTCAAAAGGAAAGTGTTCGTAAATTTAAAAATACAGTCCTCTTTGGCTATCTTTTTTTCACAAAATGCAGAAGTAAACTACTTAACACACTTAAAAAAAACAAGTGTGTTTAAAACGCTAGGCTAAATGTAGTCGGCAAAATTCCAGATCTAACTTTTTAAAAAGTCAGAATTAATCCAGACTGGATCCCCCACCGCCCCAGCTTTTTCAGTTATGCAACCTACCTGTCAGGGTTTTGCACTTCCTCTATTTGTCTCATCTTCCTTAAATCTGCTAATTTAGTTACTGTATTACTCTCTTTACTAGAAAAATACGTGAAAGTCACACTGATAATTGTCTGATACTATAGTCGCTAAGTACCTGCAAGTTTTCTTCCTTCTCTGGCATTGGACCAAAGTACTGAAGAATTTGGCTATGAAATTTATTTCTTAGGCTTTGAAACCAGCCACACGCCTGGTTGTAAACAATATTATGGAGCTCTTGCAGTTTTCTCATCTCACCTTCATCTTTAACCTGCACATCAAGAAAATATAGTGTAATCACTACATTAAAATTTTAGCCATGAAACTATACAAATTATACAGCTGGCATGGTATATAAGAATGAAGAGTTCAACCTTTACAAATGGAAAGGGGGAAATTAATTACAAGGAAGCTCATTTCAAAATACCAGCAAGTAGGATCCCAAAGCAAGTTGGTGTGGTCAATCATTCAAAGCTTTGAGAACGGAGAATGAGCTACCGGCTTAAGCAGTCTTTTCCATCTATTCCTTTCTCAACTGGGTTCTGAATGCCTTCCCAAGTTCACTTAGCAACAGTTAGCCATTACTTGGCCATGGCTAACTCCTTATCCAGGTGTCAGTTTGATAAGACTGTGGAAGCACAGGGGCACATGATCAAAATTAAGATGCTTGGCAACTGGTGTATATTTATGACAGTTGCAGGGTCCTGGAGTCATGTGATCACCTTTTGTGACCCGACAAGCAAAGTCAATGGGTAGTCAGATTCACTTAACAACTGTTACCAACTTAACAACTACAGTGATCCTCTTAACAACTGTCACAAGATAATCGTAAAATGGAGCAAAACTCACTTAACAACAGAAATAATGGGCTCAATTGTAGTCATGAGTTGAGGACGACCTGTAACAGTTTCAAATTGGGAAAAGATCTGCTTGTTGTAGCCAAAAACCATCTTATAATTCCCTATAGAATCTATTTCCATGATTTCTTAAGGAACATCCAAATAATCTACTTGGTCCCAACAAAAATGAAGCAGCATTTTGAGAAATAAGAGCATCTGAGGCTGCTGCTTTAGTTTGCAGCATGCTCATTCTCTTTATTATTATTTTTTTAATGAAAAGAACCCTGGATTATAAGGCCTTTCACCCAAGTTATTCATGACTGAGTCAACAGCTTGGACTATTGCAATGTGCACTAGATCAGAGGCCCCCAATCCCTGGGCCACAAACCGATACCATTAGGAACCAGGCCAGACAGTTGGGAGGCGAGTGAGCAAGCAAAACTGAAACCTTCCCCTCCCTTGCCAAAAAGTGTGGGGACTGCCGCACTAGACTACTCTTAAAAGATCACTCATAACTACAGGGGCAAAATGTAACTAATGTGTTAGTTGGGAAGTTCCCATGTTCATGTCAGCTTTGTGAGCTGCCTGGCGAGTGGTGGGTTTTCTGGTGTGATTGGTCCCTTTTGCTTGTTTAGCTACATTTCTACCTTTCCGCTTTCATTGCGTATACTATAAGACTAAGTAGAGGTTGTCGTACTCTAGCCGTATTTGAACTCCATAGCCATTCATGTCAATGGGTGATTCTGGGCCGTGTACATCATAAAACATAAAAACCAAAACAACTAAAACAATTGATACCAGGTGTAAAAGCCTGGTCATCCAGTGACATCGAGGAGACCTGTCTTCTCTGCAGCTGCACCTACCCTAGGGAACAGTGTTCTCCCTGGGCTCCATAGGGCTGCAACTCTTCTGTAAAAACATGGCTCTTTCAGCAGGCCCTGGGACAGGGTAGGAGGATCTGCTCCAGGACCAGGCTATTCACTTTCATGGTTTTCACTAAGCTGCTTTATTCTTCCCTCAATTTTCTTTAGCTTTCAATTCAAAAATAGATGTAGGCAACAAAATAACGGATGGCCTTTAAGATTCCAAAAATGTTCAATAAATCTCAGCATCAAAATTATTATATCCTAAAAAAGGACACTATCTAGTTATTGGTTTAATCAGCAAGCACATAATTACTATATTACATATTTATTAATATTTTGATAACTGTATTTGAGCACAATTGGTTTCTTTTGCAATATGAGCTATATGTATGCATTTTATATTTCTTTAAATACGTATTTCTGAGATGTCTGTACCTCTCACAAATCCATAAAGGGATCCATGGTCGCGAAACATTTAAGAACCTCTGTCCTCTATAAACAACAAATTAAACCAGTAACTTACTAATGTAGGATCTAAATGGAATTCTGTATGCTGTCATTCCCTGAAAGAATCCCTCCCTCCTATCAAATTAAGGGAACACTGCACATTGGACTAGGGCTGCAACAGTCAAGGTGTCTTCTTGGAGAGGCAAAATAGATAATTTTATGTACCTTTATATCTTCTAAATCCTCAATGTCTGCAGTACAATAACCATCCTTCATTCCTCTTCGAATAACTCGGAATCTCTTTAATCCAATTGTATCAACAACAGATCGCCCATCTGGCAGATAGTCAAGATTTCTAATATACAACATGCAGCCATAATCTGCAAATCTACAAAAAAGTGATAGTGTTGTCAATGGTCAGCTTAAAAATATTCTACACCTTTTGGTGGTGTGATTGTGAATATAAACCTACCCATTCTGGGGGTCATGCACGCACATCCCAAATTGTTTTGTTCCAGTTTCTATACTTCTTCGAATCATCAGTCTATATCTTGGTTCAAACACATGGAGGGGGCAAGGCACAGTAGGGTAGGCCAAAGTGCAAACAAAGATAGGAACATTCCTGGTCAGGCTTAAAACAGGATGCAGAAAATAAAAGGTTAAAATTAGAATTCTACCCACGTAGGAAGATTTAACTCGAGACAGATCTAATTCCTGGCCAATATCCCTTTCCCAAACATTGCCTTATATCCTTGTACATTCTCTTCAAAGTGAATGGACCACTAGTCCAAAGCACTCTGTGCCAAATTGTGGCTTCGAATGGACTATCATTCAACTTGTAAAATTATAAATAGCACTATTTTTCCTTATAGTAAATACAAAATAATATTTTCTCTAGTCTCCTGCATATTAATTCTTACATAATCACAAACTCTTTCAGTTGCTTAAGTCTTGGTTAACATAATATTAACATGGAATGTTAAAAATCTTATTCCACTTAACTGCATAAATGGATGTGTCTTTACTAATTTTTTCCAGTTTAGTTTTGTAGTAAAAATGTACATATTATTCTGTATGATTACTGACCAAGACAGTTTATTCTTTGTTCTAAATGTCTGTTAACAAGCTGCACTGCACACAAAAGCATATGCATATACAAACACACATACCTTGAGAGTTCAGCTATTTCTTCGTCATTAATTCTTTTTCTCTCCGATAATTCAGTAGGCAAATACTTCAATATTAGATCTTCTAGCAACCGTGTAGTGCTGTATTCCCTACGTGCCAAAAACTAACGAAAGGTAAATTGTTACGCTATTATAATTTCTTAAATAAAAACTGCAGTTTTTCATATCATTTCTTATTTTTCCTATTATTCTTCCTATTACCCATTCCTTTTGTCATCTTAATGACTATCATTTTGTTGTTGTATGATTTATGTTGACCATCACTGCGTATTCCTTGTGTGTCCAATCACACTTGACCAATAAAAAACTCCAATTCAGTTTTAAAGAATTAAGCAGAAAACAGCTGACCACACTGAACTTTATCTCTTTTATACGTTCAGAGAAATATATCATGCTACATGAGTGAATGGATTTTCACTGTTGGTGTGGGTCATCTGATAAGTGTCCTTTCAACCAACGTGGCTTGCAAACAAGAAACTCGTGGTCCAACACTTCCTTGCCTTATTTTTAGAAATTCACAAAAGTAGCAATCGTAGTGTCTGCTCTTTCACTTGCCAAAATCCAAGTCTAGCAGCTGACTACTAACTCTTTTAATGCTTGGAGGTCTGGTTACGCTCCTTGCACTTGTATGTTCCAAGGCTTCCACTATATACACAGCACTGCATAGTAATACATAGTGCTCAAGCAAGGCCTGGATTAAGTAACAACACTGGCATTATCTGGAAATAGAATATAATCTCTTTTAAGGAAATCTCCCCATGTTGAGAAACTGTTAACTCTTGCTATTAATTCCCCAATTTTATGAAAAAGATGTAAGGTAGTTGATAATTAAAAAGCAATGATTCTTTTTAGCATGCAGTTACTCATTTTTATATATTTAAAATAATAAATGTAATAAAATTCTTACATGTTAAAATTGATTTTGGAGAATCTTAACATGCTTGGAGATCTTGATAAAACTTAATATTAATCTACAGTCTTTCTTACATTTTTAAGTGGAAGATGTTGCAAATGCCATTTCTATTCACAGAATAAATGGTTATTACAATTCCACCAGCCCTTTTCAGCTTTTGATTCAAACTCTGCTTTATGATAAATGTGTCTTATAAATGTTCATAAAAAGCATTACCTCTGTTAAGTTTTCTTTACAGAGGGGACACTCTGGAGCATGGTCCAAACAGCGTTGTAAACATTTCTTGCAGAATGTATGGCCACAGGGTGTTGTCACAGGATGAAAGAACAGCCTGAAAAAATGTTGCAAATTTTAGTGAATTATCATTAAGATGTAAATACAAATGAATCAGAAAAAAGTAATTTGAAGGATGCACACAAAAACTGTTACTAAAAATAGTTCTCGATTTATGACCACAACCAAGCCTAAAATTCCTGTTGTTAAGACATTTGTTAAGTGAATTTTGCTCCATTCTACGATCTTAATTGCTACAGTTGTTAAGGGAAACATTGTAGTTGTTAAGTTAGTCACATGGTTGTTAAGTGAATCTGGATTCTTCGTTGACTTTGTTCTCAGGAGATCACAAAAGGTGACTACATTAACCAGGGACATTGCAACCAATATAAATATGAACCAGTTGCCAAGCATCTGAATTTTGACCATGGAGATGCTGCAACAGCCGTAAGTGTGAAAACTGGTCATAAGACATTTTTTTCAGTGCTATTCTAACTTTGAACAGTCACTAAACAAACTGTTCCAAGTCGCGGACTACCTGTATTTATTAGTTAGGTTAGAGACAGGAAACATTTTTACTAGCAATTTTATTTTATTTTACTATATTTGTGCTTTTAAATCAGTGCTGATTCCTGGAGACTGGCTGTACAAGTCTCTCCAGTTTTCTTGTTAAGAATTCAGAAGTGATTTGCCATTGCTCAATTTCTAGCCTGATGCCTTAACCGCTATCCCAAAACTGGCTTTCCAGCAAAGAAAACTAAAAACAGGAAAACTTTTATAAATTTTAGAAACTTTTACACATGTATCAAGCCAATTTTCTTTCATTTCAAACCAAAAATAGGTGGATATTACGCTATTATTATTTATGTCATTCTGGGGACTCCTAAATACTAGTAAAAATTACCTCAAGCCACCCAGACCTACAATAAGCTAATTGCTAAGCATACATTTCAAACAAAATTTGGCCAACAAAATGTGGATAGAATTTAAATAGCCTGAAACCTCACCTTATTTTGCAGTCTTATTAAGGGACTTTGAACAAACCATAGAGCGTTTTTATAAAGAAATGATTTTAGTAGTTCTGTGCACTGAGTTTAATGTTAAAGCTTCCTACTATATACTATGATAAAAAGATCATAAATGTTGAAATCAGACTGTATTACCTCAAACACAATGAGCATTCAAAGTCTGTTACATCAACCAAATTTTCTGGAACTATTCCACAAGAGATTGAAAAGGTATCATTCCTTTTTGGAGTTTCTAAACAAATTAAAACATGAAATAGTGCATAACTTGTAAAACAATACATGTGACCAAATATTTATTTACTTGTTTCCATCTTCACAAATAGTAGCATTTTGTTTGGAAAAAGGCAACTTCCTTTCAAAATAAGTACCTTTCTCTTGGCCAGAAAGCAATGGTTCAGAAGATATTCTTTTTAATACATTGTCTTTGGCATCTTTTTCTACTGAATCAAGAGAACTTGCAGACTGGGCACGTTGCAAATTTCCTCCAACAATGTCTAGTATCACTTGTGGCTCTTCTAAGACCTATAAGAAAACATGAAGAAACAAAACCTATTTGCTACATTTTTGATAATGAAATAGTAACTAATCCACCAGCAGATTCAGTTTTCAGTATTGTATCTTTATTTCTTGAACATATGGACTGACCATGTCAATGACATGTTGAATATAGTTAATCAGCATTAAACGTTTTTAAGACACAAACAGATATATGGAACACAAATCTAAAACCAATGACCTTCATAATTATTTTGCATGAGTATTTACTTACTGACACAGGGGTGAGCTGTAAACAATCATAAGATTCTTCCATTTCAAGTGCAGAGCTGTGTTTAAGTTGTTTATTTCGAACATATGAAGTATTTAAAGCAGATTCTTTCAATGTTTCACTAATGTTTTCTGGGGACAGCAAATTATGCAATATCTATAAAATTGACATTAAGGAATAAAATGTAATGATTACATTTCATATGTAATACAAATAGATTTCTTCAATATTGTCCCAATATTTAGACATTAAATAGCTCATCATTCTTCCACAATCTGAAAGAAGTCTCAGAGTAACCAACAATTATTTATCCTAATGTTATTCCATTGTGTAATGTTATTCCATGTATACTTTTATAGATTCAATTTTATGACATTTTGTTTGAATATTAATTATCTATAACATTAGTTAAAATGAAAGCAGTAGTTGCATAACAGGATTGTATGGTCCTCAGGTACCTCCTAGAGCAGTGGTGGCGAAGCTATGGCATGTGTGCCACAGGTGGCACACAGAGCCCTGTGGGCACATGCGCCGTTTTTCCAGCTCAGCTCCACCACACATGCAGGCATGCCTCCCGCCAGCCAGCTGGTCTTCGGGTCTCTAACAGGCATGCGCGGGGGCAGGGGATGCATGCAGAGGCGTGGCACACCTTGCATTTTGGGTATGTGCACACAAGCACGAACAGGCAAGTGCATGTTTTAGGGGAAATTGCCTACTCGGTGCCCAAGTTTTGCCATCACTGCCCTAGAGTCTATTGTGTGATACAGAGAATATAATTCTTAGATTTTGTCAGAGGGGTTTGATGGCATAAATAAATAAACCAAAATTACAAAAAACTTCCCCTAAAATCACTTCCCATCTCAACAGCACGAAAATCTGTTTATTATTTTCAATCATGATCTGCCACCTTTCCAACCTAATTTCTTAAATAAAAAGAAGTCTGACCAGAAAAGCTATTTATAAAAATGTATAAGTACCTTTTTTGCTTCTACTTTAGCTAAAACAAATCCTTCATCAAGAGATAGGCAATGAAGAAAGACCTTTAAGGCATCTTCTACAGAACCAGCATTATTAAGTATTGTTGCTCTTCTGAAATATACCTGCAAGATGATTTTATGTATTAATATAAGACACATTTATTGCGATTGAATATACTATACAAACCTAATCCTAAGCATGTTTTCTTTTCTGAAGCTGCTAATACTTCCTGTTCCTAGGTTTAAGTTTTTAAAAACACTGCTAGATTCCCTGATGCTAAAACTAGAACTAAAATAAACATACAGACATGAAGCTAATGGAAAACAATAATATGCTACATTACATAAAGAGGAAATATTTTGGTCCAATTTTAAAATATATAATTACATCTGCTTTATTTTATTAAGCATTTAAGAAAAGGTAAGAAAAAATAAAGCATAAAGTGGATAAAGAGTGAATATATAAAAATAGTATTAAGTTTTAAATATTTCATTGATTAGTTTTTAATAACAGATTACACTATATTGTTTTAAAAATTACAAATCACTGTAAGAATCCAAGTAATATGAATATCAACAGCAATAATGCAGATACATTTAAAAATGAGATTAAGTTTTACAGTGCTTCCTGTCCAAGTAATTGAAAACTTTATATTAAGAGAAATCAAAATTTGAGATGTGATACAAGATGTAGATAAAGTTATAATACCAAAATGGTTTCCAACTTGAATTCTGCATTAGATTTACATTTGAAATGCAGTTATTCTGGATATTATAGTGCACTCCTAAGGCTTAAGTAGCCATTTTTCTGCAGAAATAAGTGGGTTCCAATAAGAAACTTCCAGCATCCTTACAATATTTACTATGTATAAATCTAATTTGGTATATTTTGTTTGAATATCAGGTTTAGTGATATTTTAAAAAATATGCTGGAAATAGACCTTCTTAAATTTGTTTTTTTCTATTAAAAATAATTCCTAAAATTTGTTGAGCTTTACTCCATTGCCAGTAGCTACAGCAAAACAATTCAACATAGCCATTATTTTCCAACAATTTTTTAAAATGGACAATTCCGTAGAACCCAGAAAATGTTGCCAAGAACATGGGTTTTAAACTTTTTCAGGCTGCAGGAACCTGTATATTAAACAAACAAAAACCCTGGAGCCATTGATGAAGAAATTGAGGTAAAACCATGAGAGACTACAGGTTTTAAAAAAAATGATTTAAATACATTATACTTACTTTAAAAAACAATTTTAAAAATCCCAAACAAAACAAAAGCAGAACTACTTTGGGGCATAATTTATTATTTCTTAATGTTGGCCTCTTAGATACATTATGGAAAAATACAAAAACCTATGCTAAGTAACTTCATTTTGGGTTTATACTTACCTCAGGCCAATTTGGCATTTTAGCAGTAACAGCATTCAGTTCATCTAGTGCAGATTTAAATTCTTGAAGACTAGCGTAAGATTCAGCTCTGTAAATTCTTAACATTAAATCACCGGGATCTAAAAAAAATGCAGACATATTTAGAACATAGTTTACTGAATCCAGTTGTAAAGCTCTATAATTTAAACAGCGTATGTAATACAAATATACAGAGCTACTTTGATCTAGTGGTTCAGGCACCCAGAGAAACCAGGAGATAGTGAGTTCTAGTCCCAGCCTTAGGCTTGAAAGCCGGCTGAGTGACTTTAGGCCAATCACTCTCTCTCAGCCCATGATGTCAGGCTTGGGTAACAATCCCTATCACATCCACTGAATCAATATTTGATTGATCTTGCACCTGTGAGGAAAATAAGAAAAAAGTAATAAACCTAGAGAATAGATATTCAGACGGTAAGATAATCATGCAGGAAAATGCCTCTATGATTGAAGTAGTAGATCGTAATTTACATAAGATCATATGTATATATATTTCTGAATGGGCTAAAAAGCAAAGAGGGCACAATTCAATGCTTCCTGTCTTTTTTTTCAGCAGTACATTTTGTAACTGATAGTTCCATAAAACATTTGCTTACAAATACTAAAAAAGAACAGCCAAAATCAATGCAACTTTTGAATAAAAGTTTACTAAGCTTCATTTTAAAGGCTATTTGCTTATGGCAGGGATATGAGTTAGGACCATGCTAAAGAATCATGCTATAATTGTATCTCCAATGTCATGGGAAGTTGTGACATTGTAAAGAATTTACATAATTTTGAAAGAACCCTCAAGTGCTAATTGTAAGAAGCACAAGGTTTTTTAAAATAGCAACTTAAATATATTTACAAAGAATTTAAAAGAAAAACACTATTTTGTTCATTTCTCCAAAGCGAACCTAGGCATAATCAACATTACTAGATTAGATATTTTTGTCTTCCTTTTCTAATGTGTGAGTAATGGTGAGGGGAAAATGAAATTACATTAATAGTCAAACATTCTTCTGATAAGGTTACATCAAAATCTGCACTCAATGACTCTATATGAAGAAAGCAAGGCAAAGGCAGCACACCAAAATTATATAATTGCTGTCTTGGTGACACAACTTTAGTCAATAATTTGCAGCAATTTTTAAAACTGTCATAGGGCTTTATTACTCACACTTGGAATCTTATTGTGTTAATGCACAATAATAGAAAGCATTTAGAGTAGAGCTGAAGTCCTTCAAAAATGACCTCTTAAGACCCGGTATTTCCAACTTCTGTTAATAAAGTCCAATGCTAGATTATGTAAACAAGGCGTATTTTAAAAGCATTGTATTCTATTGAATCACACTTTTACAAAAATAACTTATAGTATGCTTTTGCATAAGTTTACTGCTGCTCTGCTCCATGCATATTAAGTCAGCCTGAAGACTTTTACTGCAGTTATTTCTCATTATCTAATAACCGTATCTCACTCAAAATCATCCTTTATAAAGCATATAAATGCCGTGAATTGAATGTTTTTAATGCTTTGCAATTCATATATATATATTAACCGAATTCCTTGACAAAATGATCAAGTGTAAAAAAGATCCTTCCTCAATATGAAGAAATTTGGTTTCAAATAGCTGAAACTATGCTAACCTGATTGTTTCTTTTCCTGCACGTTTTTAATTTTAGAAAATTGCAATATGAAGTTCACAGAATCTTAAGTACAAAATAAAAACTGAACAATGTTCATAAAGAGTATTTTTTACACATGTGTGCACTTAAATCTATAGTATGAGAAATCAGAAAAACAATCAGATAAATTTAGTGTCATGATAGCTACCCATCTGTATACATAAGGAAATAAAGCAATATAAATAAAATTAAGTACCCTTAATATTTTTCACATTGCACTCTAAGTACTTACTATTTAAGAATGCTCTAAGGTGCTAACTGAATTATATTAATCTCTTGACCTTGGTATATATAAATCTTTTCCCAGTGATGTATTATGAAAGCCCTATCTGCCTATCTATGGTATCACCAATATTATACAATATTTCGCTTTCCACACCCACATTTCCTTATGTAATCGGCACCAGCAGGTGAATTAACGCTTTAGGGAGGCAGCATATAATCTTCCTTTCCTTAAAATTACTAGGTCACAAGTGATTCATAATCCTCCAAACAGGTATAGAAAGTATAGAAAAACATTTTCAAGGTATTTCCTAAAACATATTAGATTATCCAAAGATTTCCTTATATTACAGAGCATAAATTCTGAATGACTTTTGAAATATGGCTGTCTCTGGACAATTACAACACAATGTAACCGGTCTCTCAGTTGCTACATTAACAATGCACAGCCTGAAGAATGCATCTAAGTAAAAACTTCGGCGTCCACCTGTCCCTGTAAGGAAAATAAATGTGTCAACTTTTTGTATCTTCTGCAGAATTGTATACAGCCAAGTATAAAACAAATAACTTTGTTGCGATATTGCTAATACAAACCATTTTAGGATAACTACCCTTTCACATCTCAGGGTAAATTAATTTCAGATTAGCCTTTTTATCTTTACATACACATTAAGAAAAAAACATGGTTTGTTTCCTGTCTCAAATCTCTATTTCTTACAGCAGCCAGCCAAAATACTGGTGGCCCTGGACTTATGACCACAACTGAGCCCGGACTTTTTGTGGCTAAGTCAGACATTTGTTAAGTGCGTTTTTCCCCACTTTACGACTGTTCTTGCCACGTTTGTTAAGTGAATGACTGCAGATGTGAAATTCAGATGTGAAATTAGTAACCTTTTATTCAGTGAATCTGAGCTTCCCAACTTTTCTCTCCTTTTTTAAACAAATTCTTTACTTCACTTGCAAAAAGATCACAGAAGAGGATTGCATGACCATTAAAAAATACGAACCGGCATCTGAATATAAACCAAGCCACTGCGTCGAGACGCTATTAACAGTCGTAAGTGTGAAAAAAATGGGCGTAAGACACTTCAGAGCCGTTGTAACTTTGAACGGTCACTCAAGTGTCGTTCAAGTCCTGTTATGTCGAGGACTAACTGGGCTGGTATCCAAGACTCCTGGAATGGATTGAAATTGGATTGACTTATAGATACTTTCACTGAAAAACTAGCTTGGACTTTCCGGTACAAAAAATAAAAAGAAGCAGCAGTAGCAAAGACAGCATTTCATTGTTACACAACATAATCCAACGAATCTATCTTTGAATTTGGAAAAGCCCCGAACAAGCCAGGCGGTGGGGGTCTCCCCAAACGTCCCGGGGTCACCGCAGGCACGAAGCATCCGATCCTGCTTTTACGGTATAACATTTACATTTGGTTGATTCCTTCAACTCCTTTTTTAAATTTATTGCCTCAGATAGGAAGAGAAAATTAGGCTTGAAAGCAGACTGCAGTTTCTGAGCCCAGTGTAGTCCCTAACTCAACTGCTTAAAGGGAGGAGGCTGGCTAGAAGTTCAACAATCCTACTACGTCCACCAAGCCACGAAAGTAGTGTGGGAAGGTGAGCAAAGGAGAGGGAGGGACAGATCCAAATTCCAAAGGCCACATTCAAGAGGATTAAAAGCCAAGTAAAAGGAACAGAAAATAAAAGGATATACAAATCTAATACAGTAGAACACAACCAACCCATGGAACAGAAGCCGCCCTCGGAAGTTGTGGGAGCTTCATGACTGGAAGCTTTCAAGAAGAGACTGGACTGCCACCTGTCAGAAAATGGTGTAGGGTCTCCCGCTTGGGCCGGGGTGGGAGGGTGGGGGGCTGGACTAGATGACCTCCAAGGTCCCTTCCAGCTCTAATTTTGATTGATTGAATGGTTGATCCACCTCGTCTCCGGGATGGCCTTCGACTCCAAGTAAACCCTCCTCGGGCTCTTTCACGATCCGCTCACCCCGGGAGCGGAGACCTCCCTTCACAGCCACCACGACCTGATTCGCAATGCGTTTAGACAACCGGGTTTGTGTGTGTGTGTGTGTGTGTGTGTGTGTGTAGAGGGGGTAATAAGG